GTCGTCGCGGGCAACTACCGCCCGTACTTTGGGGGCGGGCTGCTGGTCACGTGCGCCGCGACCTTCGAGGGCCTCGTCCTCGACGGCAACGCCGCGGACTGGTACGGCGGCGGCCTCGCGTCGTCCGTCGGCGGCGACGTCGTCCTGCGCCGCGCCGTCGTGTCCGGCAACGTCCTCTACGACGCGGAGCCCCTCGGCGACCTCATGATGGGCGGCGCGGGCGTCGCCGCGGCCGTCGGGCCCCTCGTCATCGAGGACAGCCTCTTCGTCGGCAACTCGGCCGGCGACGGCGGCGGCGGCGGCGTCGCCGCGCGCCAGGGCGGCCTCATCTGCGCGAACTGCACCTTCGCGGGCAACGACGCCGCGGACGGCGGCGCGGCGCTCCTCGAGGGCGCGACGACGCACGTCTTCGAGGGCGCGGCCTTTCTCGGCAACGTCGCGCGGGCCGACGGCGGCGCGCTCGCGCTCGGCGCGGGCGGGCCCGAGGTCCACGTCCGCGGGCGCGCGGCCTTCGAGCGCAACGTCGCGGGCGGCGACGGCGGCGCGGTCCACGTCGGCGAGGACGCGCGGCTCGTCGCCGCGCCGGGCTGCGTGCCCGCGACGGCGGCCATCACCGTCGCCTCCGGCGACGCGGAGTACCTCTCCGCGGCGCTCGTGCGCCTCGGCGGCGCCGGCGCGCGGCGCCTCGACGACGCCGACTACGCCTACGCGTACGACGCCTACGCCTACGAGGCCCCCTACGACATCCCGGGCAACAAGACGCTCGAGGACTTCGTCGACTTCTTCGGCGCGTCGACGTACCTCTTCTCCGCGGGCACGGCGTCGCAGAGCCGGCGCGTCTGCCTCGAGCCCGGATCCTACGCGGCCGTGCTCCAGAGCGACGGCGGCTACGGCTGGGCCGGCGAAGTCTTCTCCGTCGTCGCGGGCCGCGACGCCGTCGTCGAGGCGACGGTGCCCTACAGGGCAGCAAAAGAGAACGAAATTCCCAACTTCAAAGGCTCCGATCTCGGCCGTTTTCCACTCGTTTCGGCTGATTTTTGGACGAGCGATCATCTCTCGGAACGGTCTCGAAGCGTGGATGCTTTTTCCGGAACGCGCGCGCGCGGAACACTCACGTTGAAGCGACGTTAATCACCCTTTTGCTGCCCAGGTGCCCTACCTCGGCGTCGGCGCCACGGCGACCTTCGACGTCGCCTTTTTCGGCGACCAGGCCGGCGCGGCGCTGGCCTTCGTGGGCAACGGCGCGGGCGGCGCGGGCGGCGCCGTCGCCGTCGAGGGCGGCGCGGCGGAGCTCGGCGACGCGCGCCTCGAGCGCAACGGCGCCGCGCGCGGCGGCGCCGTCGCCGCGCGCGACGCCGACGGCCTCGTCGCGCTGCGGCGGGCCGACGTCGCGTCGAACGCCGCGGCGGCCGACGGCGGCGGCGTCCAGGTCGAGGCCTATGGCAGCGTCTTCGCCGAGGACTGCGTCTTCGCCAACAACACGGCGCGCGGCGCCGGCGGCGGCCTCGCGGTGCGGGCCGCCGCGGGCGGCGCCGTCGTCGGCGGCGCCTTAGTCGGCAACGCCGCGGCGGCGGGCGGCGGCGTCGGCGCCGTCTACAGCGACGCGCTGCCGCTGAAGCTGACCGGCGTGCGCTTCGAGGCGAACGCGGCGGCGGCGGGCGGCGGCCTCGACGCCGTCGCGTCCGACGTCCGCGTCGACGCGTGCGCCTTCGTGGGCAACGCCGCCGCGGGCGACGGCGGCGCGCTCCGCGTCGACGCGTCGTCCACGGTCGTCATCGACGGCGGCAACGCCACCGCGCCGGACGTCTTCGACACGTCGGGCGACACGCACGTCGCGGACCCGACGATCTTCGACGACGGCATCTGGGGGCCCGCGCTCCGCGGCTGCGCGGCGCCGTTCGCGCTCCTCACCGTGGTCGTCGACACGGCGACGGCGACGAGCGGCACCTGCCCGAGCCACTGGGACTACGGGGGCCCGTCCTGCGACATCGTCAACGTCGACTGCGACGTCTTGGAAACCGACTACGGCTTCGACTGCGGCGGCTGCGGCTGCAACCAGTTCCGCTTCGAGGCGAACCGGTTCTTCGAAATCGCGTCGTCCGGCGGGTTCCACGTCGTCGGCCCGGAGACGTGGATCTCCGGGCAATTAGTGTACATCCAGCAGCTCTGCGTGCCGCCCGGCGACTACGTCCTCTCCGCGTACGACCTCCACCTCAAACGGGGCCTCGACGGCGCGATCATCTCCGTCCGCGCGGGCGGCGTCGAGACCGCGCTCGACGGCGCGGACTTTGTCAACGGCACCGTCGCGTCGAAGCCTTTCGTCGTGCCCGCGCGCGCCGCGACGTCGCTGGCCGACAACACCGCGGGCGCCGCGGGCGGCGGCCTCTACCACGAGACCGCCGCGGCGCCGCCGGGCTTCGGCGCGACGCGCCGGTCGGGCAACGGCGCGGGCGGCTACGGCGACGACGCGGCGACGCCGCCGCGGAGCATGGTCCGCGCGGCCAACGGCTCCTGCGACGTCGCCGTGGAACTCCGCGCGGCCGAACCCCTGCCCGCTCGCCTTCGCCATCTACGACGCCTACGGCGCGCTCGCGACGTCCGCCGAGGCCGTCGCCGTCGCCGTGGACGTCGACGCCTGGTCCGGCGCGCAGCTCAAGAACAGCGACGCGCCCTTCGTCGGCGGCGTCGCCGCGCTCGCGACGCTGACGATCACCGACGCGCCGGGGTCGCCCGTGAACGTCACCGCGACGGCGTCGTCGCCGCTCGCTCGCTCGGCGTCGGCGGCGGCGTCGGCGTCGCTCGCGCCCGTCGGCGTCGCGCTGCGCGTGCGGAGCTGCCTCCCGGGCGAGGCCATCGTCGAGGGCCGCGTCTGCGTCCCCTGCCCGCCGGGCACCTACAACACGGCGCCCGGGGGCGCGTGCGTGACGACGGCCTGCGACGAGGACGGCTTCGAGTGCGACGCGCCGGGCCGGAGCATCGAGACGCTGCCCCTCGAGAAGGGCTACATGCGCCAGCGCGACGACAGCGAGAAGCCCATCGCGTGCGTCGGCCTCGCGCGCAACGAGCTCAACTGCCCCGGCGGCGTCGCGGCCGGCTGCGCGGCCGAGGGCCACGGCGAGGGCGCGACGTGCTCCGTCTGCGCGGGTCGCTACTTCTTCGACGTCGAGCGGGCGACCTGCGAGAAGTGCGACAACACGCTCTCGGACGCGGCGCCGGCGACGGTCGCGTCGATCGTCCTCATCCTCGTCGGGTTCGCCCTGCTGCTCTACCTCCTCGTGTTCATGGCCTCGTCCACGAAGGACGTGAAGAAGACGGGCAAGCTCGGGCGCCTCCGCAACAAGCTCAAGGCCAAGTGGAAGATCGTCTTCGTCGGCTTCAACATCATGGCGTCGATGCCCGCGATGCTCCCCGAGGTGACGTACCCGCGCATGTACGGCGACGTGTTGAAGTCCATCGACTTCCTCAAGCTCGACATCGGCGCGTCCCTGCCGCTGACGTGCCTCCCGACGAGCGGCGGCGGCCACTACGAGACCCTGCTGTTCATGACCCTCGCGCCGTTGGTCGTCATCGCCCTCGTGCTGGCGCTGAGCCTCGTCCGCGCGAGGTGCGCGGGCGCCGCGCCGCCGAATTTGGCGACGTCGCTCGTCTCCGTGACGGTGCTCGTGACCTACCTCGTGCTGCCGGCGGTGACGACGACGATCTTCCGCACGCTCGACTGCGTCGAGCTCGACGACCCGAAGACGGCGGGCACCGCGAAGTTTTTGCGCGCGCACTACCCGACGCGGTGCGACGCGTCCGGCCCCTACGGCTTCTACTTCTTCTACGCCGTCGCCTGCGTCTTCGTCTGGCCCATCGGCGTGCCCCTCCTCTACTTCCTCGAGCTCTACCGGCGCCGCGACGCGCTGAACCCGGACGTCGGCGGCGACGACAAGGAGGCCAAGGCCCGGGCCATCGCCGCGCGCGAGGCGGACCTGAGCGTCGTCCACCTCCAGCTGCTCTACGGGCCCTACGAGCCGGCCTACTACCTCTGGGAGGTCTTCGAGATGGGCCGGCGGCTCTGCGCGACGAGCCTGCTGCTCGCCTTCGACGGGCCCATCTCGAAGCTCTACTTCTCCATCTTCCTCGGCCTGCTCACGGTGAAGATGTACGCCTACTTCTCGCCCTTCATCTCCGACAGCGACGACACGCTCGCGGAGACCATCAACTACGTCGTCGTCTTCATGTTCCTCGGGGCGCTGTCCGCGTTCCTGCAGGCGTTCGACTCGCAGCTCGACTACTTCTTCATCGCCATCAACCTCATGTGCGTGGTCATCATCCTCGCGCTCTGCTACAGCGACATCAACCGCGAGAAGGCGGCGCTCAAGTTCGCGCTCGGGGAGGCGCGCGAGCTCCACAGGAGCCTCTCGAGGCGGTTCTCGTCCTCGAAGCTGGGCGACGACCTCGGGCCCGGCGACGAGGCCGCCGAGGCGGCGCCGG